ATATATATATATATAAAATATTAAAAAATATATATATAAAATAAGTCAAATTTATCAAAAACAGATTTTACGAAGTATTTACTACAAATTTTATAAACAAAGAAATTACAGAATTTGTTTAACAAGATACAATAACAAATTGCTAGTAAAAACCAAGTAGAATCTTATCTTATTTAAATGACTACGAAATACATTCTGCTTAGTTTCTATTATATTATATTAGAATAGTTTCTATTATATTAGCAATCCATTATATTAGATTATATCAACAGATTTTGCTAATATGAGCTTACTGCAGATGCAGATTGATATTAATCTATTGCAATACTTAATATAAGTTAAGCAAACTGCTAATATAATGTTAACATTTTGTTTACTGAGAGTGTTATATTTTGAAATAAATAAATAATGATTAATATAATCCTATCAAACATTTTCATGAGTTTGTAGAATAAATAAAATAGATTTAGATATTCTTTTAAAAAAAGAATCATTAGATACTAATGTTATAACTAGATGTGTATATATATATATATAAAACGTTTAAGTCATTTACCATAAATTCAGCGACACTACGTATCAATGTTACACGTTGTTCCTCAGTATCGTGATCACTAAATATATCAACATCTGGATCGAATCGTTTCACCAGCCAAACTAGAATCTCGGCAACCAGGGGAAAATTTGGCATACGAAAATTCGCGAGGGAAATTAACCTCGGATAACCCAGTACCCTCATCATCTCTGTGAAATCTATGTAGCAGGTAAAAAGAAAGTAAATCGCAACATAGTTTGTATCATATTAATAATCATTTTATATACGCACTACGTAAATCACGGTAGGACATTTTCACAACGAAAAATTAAATTCACTGTAATTACACAAAGTAAGGTTTTAGTCTAGTTCATGTTTTCTACTCGCGATATTAACGTTACCATAGAAACCATTAGCTGGACTGTAGACATGGACAAGATTGTGAGCAATCGATTTTTTATCGTAAAAAATATATACTTATATTCACATTTTCTGTCACTGAATTTTAAATATGTGTGTAGAGCATATTAAACTCTAATTTAAAAAAATATACATAATTATAATATATATTATATATAATATTTTTAATACAAATTAAAGTTTATTTCCAATTTAAATGTTTTCTAATAATCATCCTAATT